ATAGCCAAAAAGTTACTAAATTAGCCTGTTCCCAAACGAGGCCTAAATTTATAAAATTATGTAAAAGTCATTGTTATACAAAAAGTGATTTTGTTATTTTTATAAAGTGCATGGCAAAATAATCTTTCCACCTTCAATCTCATGAGATTAGAATTCCATAGCAATTTTGTACAACAAACATATTTTTTTTGTAAACTAACCTCCAATCCTCTCATTCATCTCTCAACACAAACATGCATGGCCTTCTCTCTCTCTCTCTCTCTCTCTCTCTCGTTTGTATTTTTATATAAAAAAAAAGACAACTAAAATAACCACTTCTCAAACACTCTTTAGTCAAACGGTTAGTCATCTATCCATCGACTAATAGAAAAGCATATCAAAAATATATATATGTATATATATATTAATAATGCGTAAATTATCAAATTTATTCCTATCATTTTTCTCTCCAATCTTTTAATAGTTCTAACATATCTCTTTTTATTTATTTATTTATTTATTTGTTCTCTTATCAAGCAATCCTACTCCATCATCCAACATCACTACCACAACTCCAAATGTGTGCTTATGGGCAATCCTACCAACTCCAACACATAATGGCTTCAGTCCATAAATAACTAGTAAAAAATAACTAAAATAGAATAATTATAATTTTTATCTTTTTGTGGTAGTGGAAATATTTTTTTAAATTTCAAAAATATTTTTAGCAATTATTTTTGTCGACACTGTGCAACAACTGAGACAACATGGGTGTCGACATTGAAAAAAGTGAATGTGGAGAAGAAATCGACATTCTAACACTGTAACAGTGCTATAATTTAGCAATAGCATGCCAATATAGCAATTGTGCATTCAAGATGCTCTTAAGCACACATGAGACTTTAATATATATAGCTTAGAAGCGTTGGGAATCCATATAACTTCCTGTGCTTAATTTATTGTCATGGAAGGCCAACTCTTCCATTCTATTAGACCCATTTTGCATGTGTGCCTGATTTTTTGTTTTATTTAATCAATTGTGTTTTTTTTTTAATTATGATTTTACATTAATATTTGTGGGCATTTTTTATCGATGAGTTTGTTTGGATTGAGTGCTTTTAACAAAAATTTAATTAGCTAAAGCCTAAAAAATTATTCTTTTATGTGAAACCAATACCTTTAACAAGTTCAGCCCCTTGCAACTCACTGTATTACTTTAGAGTATTACTTTAGAGTACGAAACTACTTCTTTTTGATGTTATAATTAATAATTCCAAGAATACACACCACGTATCATTCAGTTCAAATAAAAAATGTAATTGTATCGCTTGAGGATTAAATTCAACAACATTAGGTTCACATTTCACCGTAAGTATACAGAACTACTTTACCTAATAACACAGTACCTCCAAGAAAAGATCACCAAAACATATTTTATCACCACTACCACACCACTACTACAACCCAACTACGTTTCCACCACCTCCACTACCATCACCATCACCATTTCCATTGCCGCTACCTCCACCACCACTACCACCCCAACACCTCCACCCTGCCGCCACCACTAACACATCTATTAGCATATTAGTTTAAAGAACAAAACCAAACATGGAAAAACGTTTTTTACATTTTTCAAAAAATGTATTCTATAGAAAATGTTTTTTCATTAGAAAATATTTTTCGCTCTTAACGGAACTCTTAAAGTTTGTCAAGCTATATACTCTACTGTTGCCTAAACTAACAGCACAAAGAAGAAAGGCAAATGAAAATTTTCCGAACTGTCCTATATTTTCAAACCCTCGAACTGGCTACCATTTTGGGATTCTTCAAGAACACTATGGCCTTTTCAATTTCTTTTTTTAAAAAATATTTTTGTCCCCAGCATTAGAAACCATTCCACCCAACTGAACAAGCATTCCATGAGATCAAAACCATGAAGCAAATGAGTGAAACTTCAATGAAAGGTATACTAGAGTTCGGTTGTCAAAACAAGGCCCACAAAAAGTGCAACATAAGGGAGAATTACAGAATGCTCAGTAGAGCAGGCAAGGACAATGATGAAGAAATGTAGATAGCAAAAGATACTACAACAATATCTAGAACAAGCACCGATGACTACCAAATTTGAGATGGCAAAATATTTAACATTTTTAACACTAGGAAGCTGATTCTCATTGAAAGATTATATGACAAGTTCTACAAAAAGTACTGACAACTCCAACATGCAGAACAACATGCCAGCTCAAACAGGGGATAGGCTTTCAATGAAGTTATAGCTATTATAATAACAAACTGATTCATGAAATTCACCTGGCTGAAAATCAAGAAGCACCTTCCATGTCTTGCGATCCAAATTATAAGAAATGAAATTGCCATAAATATTAAAAACCAGTGCAAAATCTTTTTCATTTGCTCCCTTCACAATACACACCACAGAAAATTGGTGAAATTTCTTAGGGAAAAGAGATTCTATAGGTCTCAGATTAACACAGTACTTTACTTTCCAGCAGCAGTAGTCCCTGTCCATCTCAAGAATTCTGAATCTCAATGGCAAAACCTGTCGATTCTGAATAAGAAACAAATAACCATGACATTCACCAAAATACAGAATCTTATCATCAGAAAGAATTTTATGGTATGGAGGCATTGGAGTTCGTGTCAGATTCTCAGCAGCAACGTCAAATCGAATGTAAAGGTTAGTGGAAGTCATCCAATGAATAGCTCCATTCGAAAACACCCTGCGTCTCAAGGAGTGACCTGGTGGTGCAATGACATGAATGTGTTTCCAAGATGCACTCTCCAATGAGTAGATATCAATTACATAAGAACTTCCAGACCTTCCACGAAGATCAAAAGAGTAATTAACCAATACAACCTTGTAGTGAGGTGATTTTGAAGGGTCAAAAGCCAAGTAAGCACCAAACTTGTTATCTAAAATCTAGATAAAGTGTCGGCAGGTTCAGGTAGTGCAGTGTATTTTGGGTGGTCGGATTACAAACGATGTAACGTTTTCCGTAAACCTTGGAGCACAAGAGTAAGCCGTTACAGGAGCATACAATCTTAGGTGTAGATCCTTCTCCAACACCATTGAGGAAGGCGAGTGTCGGAAGACTTGAGTGGCTATGAAACGAGACAGAATTAAGTTCCTTGAACATCCGAAGTTTGCAGTCGAAATATATGCCTGAGATCAAGGAATTGTTATTTCGGTGGGTGTGGTTGTGGGAAAATTGTGAGTCAGAGATGAGAGAGAGCCAATGCTTAGATACACACTTGAATCTGAGGAGTGACTTTGCCGGCACATGTAAAAGGATCTCTGTTAGAAGATCAACATTGCTGACAACTACTTCTACCGCCAGTGAGTCTTCCAATGATGTGGAGCCAATAACTAGCTTTCTTCTTTTGTTGGATACTTTCTCGGTCATTTTTTCCTGTACATAACCCACAAGAAGACCAGAATCGGAGAATGTGCACAGATGTGATGCATATGGTATTATGAAGACGAAGAAGGATCTAGTTATGTAACTATCTTCCATTGCTTACAATTTGTGTAACAAGCTTAACTACTAATAATTGTCTAATTCTCAACTCAACTCCAATAAGCTCCTATCTTAGCTGCAGTAATCTTCATTATGTAACAATGTGATAACAGGAAAGGGCAACGGGTTGGGGTTTTTTGGGTTTCGAGCTCGAATCCGTCATTTTAAACTCTACTAAAAAATATATAGGTATTTAGGGGTTGTTTGAAATGTCCTAAATAAGTGTATTTTTTGACTTTTTGGACTAAAAAGTAGAAAGAAAAAAGATGACTATTTGGTATAACTTTTTGACTTTTTACGAAAAAATATATATTAAAATGTTAGGTTTTATTCTTGGCAACCCCGTTTGAAAAAACTCCTTTCAGTTGTATTTGTTTTCGCACCTTTTATTTCAGTGAGGCTATGAGTTTTTTAGATTCGAATCCAACTCGAATCGTGCCTTTGTCAATTTCCATGGATCAAAACCGAGGTTGTTACAGGATCTAGTGTTCCAGATTTTCCAATTTTGGTCGTCCCGCTCGAGCGGGGATTGCAAGTTCACCGCATCTCTGCCTCGCCTGAAAAAGTACTGGATGATGTGATTCGACACTCGAGCGTGGAAACTTTCGCTCGAGCGTGAAACAGCGTGAAGCCTATATGAATCACACAATTTTGAAGCCTCCGCTCGAGCGGGAATTCCCACGCTCGAGTGGACCGCTAACACAGATTTCTATAAGGAATTGATTTTCTTCAAATCCAGGATTACTTTGTATTTCTATAAGGAATTGGTTTTCTTCCAAAACTAGGATTACTTTGGTTTTCTATAAGTAGTTGGTTTTCTCCCAATACTTGGACAAGTCCTCCAGATCTTCTTTTTGGTTCTTAAGGTTTATATCTGGGGATATTTTGTTAGTTTTCTTTGATGTTTTATTGAGTATTCAACTCATGGTTTAAAGAGAGTACATCAAAGGTTTTGTTTGTAATACACAAGAGACAGAGAGTTGTTCTTCGGTGGATTCTGAAGAATTCGAGCCTGAAGCTTCGATGGATTCTAGAGTGGCTCATCGTAAAGACAATTCCGAGGTGATGACGGGGTTGAGAGTATACCTGTGTAATTCCTTTAAATCTTCTTAGTGAATTGTTTTGTGGCTGTTGCCCGTGGTTTTTAAATCACAGTTGGAGGTGTCCAATTGTGGTTTTTCCACGTTAAAATCGTTGTGTTGATTTGTCTTGATTGTTTGATTGGGATTGTTATAAATTGCTTAAAATTGATACATAATCACAAATCAACATCTAGAGGAATTTTAGATTTTTCATAAAATATTGTATAAAATAAAAAATTACCATTTTACCCCTACTATATGTAAATACCTACTGACTTGGATTGTATTGCACGCCAATCGGTTGGCAGCAAACATTATAGGAGCAGATTGCCTACAGTCCAAGATCGGACTGGACGGTGCTGTTCAGCTCGTGAGGCCCTATCATTGGTCCTATTTTGATAATCGAAACAGTTCAATATGTAGAACTCGTTGAGTATTATACACTTGTAAAAATCACACTGATTGGATATCGATAGCTATCTAATTAGATTAGTTTTTTTGTCAACCATTAATTTCTTCACCGTCCATTTTGTTATACAAAACTGATTTGATCATATAGCTAGGCATAGAGTATCCAATGAGTTCTACATATTGAACGGTTTAGATTATCAAAACATGACCCATGATGTCCTCCACAAGCCGAACAACACTGTCCTGTGCAACTTTTTTGTGCACTCGCCGGGTAAAATTTGTAGCATCAGTTGAATGTGTACCATCACTGCACACTGTCCTGTGTAACAGCACTTTCATGATTTTTTATATATATATATTTTTGTGAATAGTGATAATTTTTTAAATTTTTTTAGTAGCTTTTCGACTTTTTATCTTATTTAAGACATGCCAAACTAGTCCTTACCGTAGTGGAGCGGAACAGTTTGGAATGCGAATTATAAATTTTAAAGTTTAATCCGCGGTTAGCGGATATAGTGTTGTAGATTGATGCGAATTGATGTGATTTTAACGGATTGGATAATCCATATATCAACTCAAGCTTTTTACTCAAACCTGTATATTAAAAAGTTACTCAACCCAGATCCAGATTGACCGCAGGAATCGCAGGTGAAGGAACCGGAGGCGTAAGTGGGATATGGGACTAGGGTTACAGGGATGAAGAGGGTGGGATGGTTGTTTCATGGAGCGACTCGCTAGAAAGCATTGTTCACGGTGGAAGAAATTTCATTGCTAGCACACGAAAACCACACCTGAGATTGGGAAGTTACAACCAGAGCAATCGATTCCGATTTTTACCATTTTTAGGAGTTTGAGGAGGGTTAGATTGTGGGGGTGACTAAAATTCTCCTCGAAGCTCAAGTGTTTAAATGATATAAAAAAAAGAAAAAAAAAAGAAGAAGAAAAGAACATAGGCCTATTGGAAAACCCTCCCAAAACCTTGATAGAAAGGACCAAAATAATAGCATTTAAAACAATATTGATAACTATTTCAAACATTACTGTAAATGAATATAATATATATGCATACACACCAATATAAATCTAAAAACTCAAGAAGTAGAGGAATTCACAGAGAAAAGTGAAAACTCACGATTTTATATACAATTTTTTTTCCTTGCTTTTAAAAAACATATAAAAAAAAACAACACAAAAGCAAATTATTGAGAGAGAGAGAGAGAGAGAGAGAGAGAGAGAGGACTTACAGGGAAGAGAGACACTCTGTCTATGGGATGGTGGTGGAGGGAGTAAAAGAGGGACACTAATAATTTGTGCAGGTTTTCTGATGGTATAGAATGATATTGTGAGGATTTTCAAAGTATAACCGGTGGGTTGTGATTGTATAGAATATATAGAGAAGATTTTCAAAGTATAATCGATATAGGTTTTGTAGTTAGATTTCATGTAAAACTTGAATTAGGTTTCTGAGTTTGTCTAGGTTTGTGAATAGAGAGAAATATTATGTATTCCTTCTATCCTAAAATAATAGTCTCTTTTAGAAAATCTAATTTTTTTTATAGTACAATTATTGTACTTTAAAAAAATTAATTTTTCAAAATTACCAGTTCAGATTTTTAAAGATGCATCGCGAACCCTATATACAGTCCATGTTCAGATTTTTATTTTATTTTATTTTTTTAATAGAATGTTGATAGCCCCAAATTTAAGAGTCCGTCTATCGTACACATCGTTTTTTGTGTTGTGGTATTGATAGCAATAGGCTCTTCAAATTAGCCAATGAATTGAAGCATCAAACCAAATTGATTTCTTTGGGCTGAGTTGGATTGGGTTAATTTTTGAGTAAATTGATTTAGTTTTGAGTCTTTAAACATCAAATTAATATAATTAGAATGGTTCTTGGTTTAAGTTTTGTATAAACCAAATCAATCCAAAAACCAAAACTACAAATATACATAAATATACGTATATTTTAAAATTGTATTTATATTGACTTATTCACTTTATTACTCTATTAGAATGGATTTGATTACATCTAATAATTTTTCATATTCAAGAATTATTGGTAAATGAAGGAAATATTAGAAACTTTATTAAGACTTCGCAATTGATTTAATCTTTATTGGTTGTATTAATAGATTTAATTGTATTGAATATATTTAAACTTTAGTTATATTTAATTTGTATTGGATTGTACTAAATAATATTTTGCTCTTTGTTTTCTTATTAAGCATAAGTGTAAGAGATTTGTATATTTTAATTATTTATTATTGATTGATTTGCTTATTTTTAATATAGTGAAACCGTAGTTTTAACCCAAACCAACCCGAGCTACATTGGGTTGGATTAGATTGGTTTTAGTTCATGATTGGTCTGGTTTTGGGTCGAAAAACTTGAAACCAATCATGATTAGGTTGGTTTCAAATTTATTGTCAAACTGAACCAAGCTGACCCATAAACACCCCTAGATACCACAAATATCATAACTAAATTATTTTTAATCATAACTAGAAAAAAACACAATGAGTTATTACCAAATATCACTTGTGGCATGGCTAAATATCTCTTCAATCATAGTCAAAGTAAGAACCATAATATGTCACAACCAACACCAAAATAAATCACAAGCTTACGCTAAAATGAATTGTAATCAAACAACACCTCAGGCACAACCAAAATAACAATTATAATAAATCATAATTAACTCATACCGAACACGTTAAATGAGTCAACCAAATCATAACAAATACCGACAATTTGTCATAACCATACATATCTGTTTTGTGGTGTGTATTATATCAGTCCCTAATTTGTAAGGCATAGATTGGAAAAAAAATGTTAAAAAAAAAAGGAAAAAAAAAAGAAGATAGACAATGAAAAAATTTCTTCGCATTTTTTGGTGAAAAATAAAAGACAACGAAAAACATTTTTCATGATCTACAGAAAATAAGCCTCTTTAGACGGAATATATTTTTCACTTCTAAAAGGGAGAATGCGTTTTTCGAACTAAAATTTTACTAATGCTATTACATTATCACCACTACCATCAGCTCCACTACCACACCACTACTACCACAACTCGACTACCATCACTGCTTTTGTTACCACCACCTCCATTACCATCACCATCAACATTACCACTGCCGCTACGTCCACCAACACCTCCACCCTACCACCACCACTAACACACCTATTAAAGAACAAAACCAAACATGGAAAAATGTTTTTTACATTTTTTAAAAAACGTATTCTATAGAAAATGTTTTTTATTAGAAAATATTTTTTGCTTAGTGAAAGGATTGTTAGTGAAGAGATTGTTAATGCGGAGATTAAGTAAAAGTGTGTTTATTTTGATGATAATATGGGAGATGATTAGTGATGGGATTGTTAAATTATTTTTATATAAAATAAATAAATAAATTATTTCTATATTAAAATCATTCAACTATAAAATTTATATATACATAAGCAACCATTAAAAAAAAATGCACTGCCATTTTAATCATC